ATATATATATATATATGAATGACACTGTTCCGTCAATGAGAGAACATCTGAGAAGACTCACTATTTAGGGGCTATTGAACCTTTTACGAAGTTCATTCGGCTACAACACAATCCACTCTCCTTCTATAGCCTATGTGTTTCATTGTTGGCAGATTTGTCAGTGGCGCGTACTAAGCTCGTCTGCTTTCTAAGAATATATTGTTCCTGTTTTTGAGAGAAATCTGCTTAAATTATCAGAAATAGAATGAGCAATATTGACACACGCACTTCGGCAACAGAACTTACAGTACTTACTCACATCTTCCAGACACAACAGGTTCCCACATGAAATGATATAAAATGAAAAATAAAATAATGAGATCAAATAAATAGAAAATAACAGTAAATGATAAAATTTACAGCTACAAAACCAGATTTTTTTTCTGCACCCCTCTCTCTACAAATGTAATTACCTGTACAGTGATTGTGAATGACTGCAGTAAGCTTAATCCAGGGTCCATCTGCTTTCTGTGCTTTTGTGGATGTGAAGACTGACAGAGTCCATTGAATTAGGATAACAAGTCATTTTCATTGCTCCGCCATGTTTACTGAAGAGATTTGGAGGCTTGGAATCAATTAAGATTGGCTTTCCTCAAGTCTGCCTGCTTAACATGGCTCAGGCGTGGGGCCCACAGCTGTGAAACACAAGGACCCTCAACCCCCAACTTTTCCTGTGATTCTCCAAGCGTTCCTCTGGGTTTTTCCCTTTTATTCACACCAGCCCTGAAAAAGGCTGGCATATGTTATATTTTGGATGCTGGTCTCTAGCACGGGATGCTAATATACTGTAGGTATAGTTTAAAATTTAAATTTATAACCACCCTTATGTCTGCCAAACTTGCTTGACTTACTTTCTTCTGTGAACATAAAGATATTTTGAAGAATGTTCCAGTTGTATTTTTGGACCCCATTGACTTTAATTGTATCTTGCATGGCTGCAGTATGATGGTTCACAAGGTAGACAGACAAGCAGCAAAAACCAGCACTAACCACCATAAACCTGGTCTTTTCCGAAGGGAATACAGTCCCTCAGAGGTAGAGGCAGTTTGACAAAAAACAGTTTAAAGACCCTTCTGGTCTAACAGAAAAAAGGAAAAGGAAAAGACAGAGCACAGGGAATCTGAATGTCATGGCTATTCAAAGGGTCCAAATGATTTGAATGCTCGCTGCATGTGAATTACTAACATCTGTTCCTGAGTCATGTCAGTGTTAAATATGTTAGACATAGTCAGTCGGCTTGAGATAAAACATTGTGAGGGAGCTCAACCTCTTGACTGAGTGATAAGAAAGTCCAGGGGTTGGAGAACATACTGGTAACAGCGCATACTAAATGTAACTAGTGTCTGAATTGTAGCCGTACTGAAGGAGAGACGGATATGGGAGGACAAGTTCAGCAACAATAGCTCTTTTCTTCTGGAGCTGTGGTGATTGACACAATTTTAGTTGAAATGCTCTTGCGGCAGACAATATAATACCGGTAGATACAAAAATGGATGGCAACCCTTACGAAAAAGAAGTTCATTCAAGTGTGCTATTAGTATACTTCTTTTAAACTAAAAATAGGAAAGTATACTTTTAGTCTACTTTTTATGTACTTCTCAGAAATGGGCTTTATGTACTTCTCAGAAATATTCTTAAAATTAGGCCGGTTGCAATAATCAATATATCGACTTATCGCGCAATATATGTCC